GACAAATAACGCGATGGGTCTGGGGGGCTCCTTGCCAAAGCCAGCAGCCTCATTTCTGTAAGAGCAAAGGTCCCGCCCGGGCTGTGTCCGGGTGCGTACGGAGCCCTTACGACTCGTTTCCACCTTCCAGGAAGATTCGAGTATTTAAAAGCGTGTTCCTCAAAGAGCGATGCAGAATGCGTGTGCAAGGAGGGATATCACTGCAGCGGCGACGGCTGCTCCCGCTGCGACCGGAGCTGCGGCGTGGGCCAGGAGAGCACTAGGAGCGGTAAGGTTGCCTTTCCCTGCTCGTGTAAACCTCCTGCGCTCACTGCACCGGACACACCACACCACCAGACACACTGGTGCGAGCACAGCAGAAGGCAGACGCGCTGCTACAGCTCAAATCCTGTTCCAGTTAGTTCCCTTTGCACAAGAGCTCTTTTGTCGCCAGCTTGTGGGAAATCGAGCTGGGAACTCTGGAGTTAGACATGACTTGTGGCATCTTGTGCCAAATAAACTGTCTCTGTAGCTGATCACTATACTGGTACATAGCTCAGAGAAAGACTTGCCTTGCACATTCAGAGCAGTGCTGGAGCACCTCTCCTATGAAGACAGGCTGAAAGAGTTGAGGCTGTTCATCCTGGAGAAGGGAAGGCTCCAGGGAGATCTTATAGCGGCCTCCCAGTAGCTGAAGGGGCTACAAGAAAGCTGGGGAAGGACTTTTCACAAGGGCAGTTAATGACAAATCAAGGGGAAATGGGTTTAAACTGAAAGAGTGGAGGTTTAGATTAGATATTAGGAAGAAGTTCTTCACTGTGAGGGTGGTCAGACACTGGAACAGGTTGCCCAAGGAAGTTGTAGATGCCCCCTCCCTGGAAGTGTTGAAGGCCAGGCTGGATGAGGCTTTGAGCGACCTGATCTAGTGGAAGGTGTCCCTGCTGATGGGACACCTAACCCATTCCAATCCTAACCATTCTATGATTCTATGAAATAGTAATTCTATGAATGTGGATCATAGTCATGGTACAAGCAGGCAAAAATAATGTTTCACATGTTGTTTTAAATACTTATCTAGTACAAGTTTATCTGTCCTTGTCTGTTGAAGGCTGCCAGACTTGCCGCTATGGAACTTTTAATGATCAGCCCAACGGCTCCTGTAAAAACTGGACAAAGTAAGTAATCTAAAAATAAATGCTACAGCTATTACATTTGACAGTATTCTTTTTTTTCCCCCCATGGTGTTCCCCACTCCCTGTTATGCTTTAAATGTCTTTCAGGTGCTCTGCAAACCAGGTCCTGGAGCCTGGAACTGCAGCAAAAGATGTAATTTGCAAACGTGCTTCAGATAATCCCACTTTAGTCAGTACTCCACCTACCACATCTCCTGCAATTCCACTTTCTATCACTGTGCCAGGTGAGTCATTGTATAATATTGCTTACAGAGCTAAAGAATTACTTCAGAACATATTGTAGCTCATTCACTTACCATTTAAAGCAAGAGTCCTTTCTCCTATCCATTTCCAGTGTTGCAGCCTTGTCCAGAAGTGGAGTTGGAGATGAAGTTGTTAGCTAATTCAAGGGCAGTAGAATTTTGCTCTGTAACACTTAGAGAATGTTGTTTGCTTCCTAGGGAAGGACCTCCAGATGGACATTACTGGAATTTCTCTTACTGTAGCGGGGCTGTTGTGCATAGTGTTTGTGCTTCCTTCGTGTGTATGCTTCGGTATCTGGCAGAAAAAGAAACTACACGCTGTCTTCAAGAAAAGTAAGAGAGATACACTCTTCAATTCAATTTTTCTTTTTGAAACTAGGCAGAAATCAGGAATACAGGTTTTTAAGTTACCTTTCAAAGATACTTGCAGATAGCTTAATTTTTCAGTCATGTAAGTCAGAAACAACAACTGAAAGGAAAACAGTTTGGGAATTTTTATTGCAGAAAGTACCTAATTACCTGTCGGTGCTCCGTCAACATCTGCAGGCTAACTGCATGCATATCCATAGAAGTGAAGTATTCATGGGAGGTGAAAACGCTCGATGTTGGTCTTCCTTTCCTTCCTATGGCAAACAGACCACTAGCAGCCCCTGTTGTATTATGGAAAACAAAATATAATAAATTAGTTTTATCAAATGTACATGCTGTAGAGGAATAATTTCGGATTATGGAATCATTTGGAAGATTTTTTTCTTGCTGATTTCCTGCGCTTGTGACTGAGGAAGGATGAAATAAGGGGGCTGAATAAATACAACAGAAAGTGAACACTTGGGTTTTATTTTTTTTTCTTTAGTGCATACCACACCTGAACAGTCAGTTCAGGAAGATGATGCCTGCAGCTGCCGCTTTCCAGAGGAAGAACAAGGTGAATATCAGGACCATGGCAAATCCACAGAAATCAGAGATCTTCTGGTGAACTAGGAATTGGACTGTCCAGGTCAACACAAGGAAAACCTGTTTATATAAAGAGAGAGTATCAGAATCTGTGAATTTCAGAGGCTAAATAGCCCAGCCACTGAACAGAAAGTTCATCTTTTCAATCTCTTTAACTAACTAACTAAATAAATAAAACATAGTTTGCTGACTCTTCGTCTAGGACTAGGAATCATATTTCTAAGCAGCAGTACTTGATCTGCGTATACAAAGAAGTAACTGCACTTAAAAGCAGTAACAGAAGGGCAGAATGGCTTTCTGGTCGCTCTTATCAATGGTGCCTGAGCCATGATTTACATGCAGTCTGAAAGCATTTGACACTAAAAAAGAAGATCTGTAGCACACAGTAGAGCCACATGGGACACTTGTGGTCTCTGTTACCATTACCAGCCATCCTCTTGAGTCTACACCTGAAACTCCTCCTGAAGTTTGGCTCAAACTCAAGTCTTGTATTTTGTGTGCAAATACAGACAGACCTAATTTCAGATCCAATCACCCTTAGAAACAGATACCTGGTCAGACCACTGTACACTTTCTTATATGTAGGAGAGAGGAAGCTATAAATATCTAGAGCTGCAAAGTTGTTTCATAATAGCTTGTGTCTGCTGTTGTATTATGCTGATTGGCTTAAGAGAGGCAGTGGAAACACTGAGAAAAGCTGTGGTTGACTTGATCTTAGAAATAGATGTTACTGTGCAGCTGGACTGCACCACCTTCAGTCCTACATCATTCAACTTTGATCTTTTAGGTGATGTAAACATATTCTGTACATTGCAGGTGTGGGAGATGTAGATGCAATACATTTCTGGTACTATTTTTGTAATTCTGAGGTTGGAAGGATTTTAACATCAGATACTGTATCTGAGTCTTTGATCAATTACCTTGGTCTTAAAAGAGAAAAAAGAAAATGCATGTTCGAGTCGTGGCATTTGCAACATGGTTTTTAACCTTTTACAGAACCAAATATTTTATTTCTTCATTCTTCTTTTTTTATTCAAAAAATCGAATGAAACCCCACCAATATGTCATGTAAAGGGTGATTTTCCCCTCTACATGATTTCAACTTAGAGATAGTTTATCTCTCCATTCATCAGAGGATTATGAAAGCAGATTATTTTTACCAAACCACACTTACACATTTTTATAAACTTGTATACAAGTAAATATAAAACAGGATGTGAGAAAATAAATGTCATAGTGAAGACAGAACTGTGAAGTTAACTATATTTAAATAAATCTTTCTTTTGATCCCTAACCCAAGTCTCCTCTCTATTAGTACTTTCAATCATGAGAACTAAGTGACTATTATGTCAAGTTCACAAACTTAAAAGACGTGAACAGGACACATGAAAAGCCACCAATATTTTTTTAAATCAAAGAACAACCTTTGCACCAGTGAACAGTATCTTAGAACAGTATAAAATAGTTCTGCTTGTGATTAGTTTCTAATCCACACAAAGTATGGGAATTAATGTGCACATCCTGTAAAAACTCAAAATATCTAGTGTTTTCTCCTTGGAAAAAAAGATACCAGTTGGAATTTTACATTTTGTTAGTGCAGTCTGCATATATTTTGACATGCTGTGAAGACAGTGCAAGACCCTTATCTGTTGCTTTTCTGTACATGAAACAGAAGTAAATCACTTTCTGAACAATGAGGTGTTCATTACAACACTTTTTCCAGACAGTTTGATTTTGCTGTTTTATACTGAACCTTCAGGAGTGGCATAAAATTCCTCTGAATCAAAACAAAGCCTGTGGAGGCAAAAAAGAAAAAAAATCCTAAATAAATACAAACTGATTTCTGAGAATAAGGGACACATTTACACCAAAATTTGCTTTCTAGACCGTTTCAAGGAATAGACATTCACACAAAGAAAATACATTTTTAATAAAATACCAGGAACAACCTTATTTTAAATAATTTGTAGCTGAATTTGTCTGTTTCTTTACACAGAGGAAGACAGCCTTCCTGCACGCACGTTGAGCACTGTAAAATCCTTCATCCAGCACGGGTGAAGGGGAAGAAACTGCACTACCTTTCTTTGATGATTCGTAATTAAGGCAGAAGGAAGGAGCAAAGCCTGACTGTCTGTAATTCAGAACCAGGGCTGGGGAAAAGAAGTATTTTTTGTTGATGACAAATAATTGATAGATTATGTGTATCCTGGCTTCACAGGGAGCTTTTATTGAACATGCAGATTCTTTAATATCTGCAGAAACTTACCAGCTCCTGTAGAAATAACGCAGATCAGTTCTTCTAACTCTTTGAGCCCTAAGTGTTGTCTGCTTTCTGTGAATGTCTCTTTTCTCAACAATGTTTTTAATTTATTATGTAGCAAGCAAAAATTAAACAGGAATGCAATGACGACTCTCAAGCAGCCCAGGTGGCCAAGGATGAGGTAACAGGCCAGATGCAAGCTTTCTGCATTTCCATTTGCTTTTCTTGGAAGTCAGAAAGTGTCCCCTTAGCCAGACTGTGTGCGGAGGCCCAGTGATGTCAGGCAGAGTTCTGAAGGCATGGAAAAAGGAGACAAATCCCCTTTAAAGATAAGTTTAAGCAGAGAAGCCTGCTGCTTTTTTATTGCCTCCAGAACCAGCACCATTTCCTGGCACAGTTACTACCATCAGTAATTAAAACTGTGTTTGTCACGTCTTGGTTTCATAATTTCTTGCAAGAGTTGTGTGGCTAAGGAAAGCAAAAGGTTTGTGGCAAAAGGTTTTCTGTCTCACCCCTCCCTCTCTTCTACAGGCACACTTGTGTGTTTCTGTGCCTGACACCTCTGGATGACAGAGACTCTGAAACTGTAATAGCTCCTCTCAAATATAAAAACATTGTATAATTTTTTAAAAGCAGAGTACAATTTCTTATTTTCAGTCTTTCTGTCAGATCCTTCACTGGAGAGAAGCATCGTCTTCTCTGACAGTCGTTCTGATACTGACACTAATGATGCAAAACCCTTCATAGGAGATGGTCCACTCTGAAGAGACCTAACACATAGGCAATAGCACTCAACACCCAACTTGTAGCACTTCTGCTTGCATTTTAAACAGGTGATAAAAAGTGAAGGTAAGTTTCACTATCAAAATTATACAGTCTTATTCTATCACCAAGTGTTAGTTCCTCTCTCACCTATGAACAAGCTTTCCCTGATACAGTTCTTTTTTCAGAGTCTGTCAAAGGAGGTTTTTCCATCCCACAGGTTTTGTGTTAGTTGTGCATCAGGAACACATGGCTGAGCATCATTCTGTCCCTGGAACTGGCACGAAAAAGGCTGCTGGATACTGTCATTGCCCTCACTGTAAATAAGAACTTTAATACCATCTAGAAAGAAAATGGAAATTCCCTCTAACCTCAATTTGGCAAGAGTTTGTTATGATATCACCTACTATGTTTCCTTTTGCCTTTTAGATCCTGGGTGCCTGCCAGTTAAAGCACGAGACTATACCTGTGATATTCTTGAAGCAAAATGGATTATATTTTAATGAAAAAAACCCACCAGCTGAACAACCACTGAAATCAGGGAAAATCTCTCCTGCTTGCCTAACCTGTTTGCATTAAGAACATAAATCAGGCTTTATTTGATTTACCAAATGCAAAACCCCATACAAAGACACCTACTTCAATTTGAGGATGACTTACGATGTATCTTAAACCTGTTAAATCTACTCTTAGTTTACATAATCCAAACTAAAACGAGCCATTTAAGTCAGTTTTGAATCAACTCTTAGGTTAGACTAGCTCACTTTTCTCTTGTACACAAGAATTTCAGCAGGCTTAGAAACAAACACAATTCTGGAAAAAAAGAGGAAGGTGGATGGAGAGGTGAAAGACAATTTGCCTTTAACTACAACACTACTGATTTGAGAAATGTTTATATATTTTAAAAAAATCCTTCTAATATTCACAGCATTGATATTTTCAATTTAGAACAAGTATAAACCATTTAATGAGAAGAGAACACTATGCAGGCCTGTAAGGAGAAAAGGGAAAGGGAAAGGGAAAGGGAAAGGGAAAGGGAAAGGGAAAGGGAAAGGGTCAGACTACTTTTACTCAGTGCACCTTTATACAAATTTTAGAGCAACTCTGAAAGAGTAAAATACAATTCTAAAGAAAATGTACATACAAGCCTAAAGCAGAATTTACTGAAGTATCTAAAGTATAATATATTTTTCTTAAACTGGAATGGAAAATACAGTTAAACAGGTATATGAAAGGAGTGATGCGAGGAAACATTATTGACTCCAGAGGAGCTGCAACATCGCAGTTCAGCAGCACAGTTGTCTTATCAAGCTACAATCTCATCAGAAGTCCAGGGAGATATTTTTTCCTCCCAATTTACATTATCAGTGTTACGGCCATTCTTAATAGTACATCTTTTTGACTTGCTGTGGTTTCACCTTAATGAGTTTATTACCTTACAGAAGTAGAGGTGTAACCACAGAAAACGCTTTACGGTGTGCTCAGACTTCAGAGTTCTAATAAGAGAAAAGGAAGCTGCCATTCTTTAACTTGAGAATTAAAAGATTTGGAAATCTGATGAGGCACTCTATACTCAGGAAGCCAGCAGAATTGACAGTAACATATTCTCTTGTCATTGCATCTCACTATGTCTGCACTCAGCAGTAGGGTAGGCTATGATCAGAATACTTCTCACATGGAACAGCAGGAAAGAAGATTTTGCTTCTATTACTTAGTTCCAGTGTAGCAAGAAACGTTCAACTTACCAGATCAGAAGACAAAGATCTGATATCTGCTTCCTTCACCGTTGTTAGCTGTTGATCCCTCCCATCCCCAGGGACCACTTTCCACTCTAGCCAGTCAAGATCAGTCAGAAAGTCAGTCAGTCATCACAGAGAAAAACATCAGTTAACACTTGTAGGAGGAATGATTTGATAAACTGGAATCCATCTCTCAAACAGTGAAGGGAAGATTCCACATGGCTGACTGCCAAGAAACATACATTCATTTACAAAATAACCTTGAA